ATAATAAGCAGAAATAATTATTTCATTTTATTTTTAAAAAGAACGGATTATTTTTCGAGACAATGAGGTCACTTACACATAAAACTGATAAAATAAAGATCCTGGACGGAAATACCACTATTTATTAAAGACAGACTATTTTTCAAAAAGACGATGTCACTTACTCACAAATATTTGAGAGGGAGCTTCCAATAAAAATTCGGTTCGAGAGAGGAGTTCACTGTGTTTCGACCAGAGAGAGAGAGATCTCAAAATTTTCTAGGGTGGGAGTGCTCACCTCCCCTATTTAAATTCTTATAACGTATTATTATATTATTTTATTTTGCTCTACCTCATACCTAAGGTGTCGCGTTAAGAGTCTGCTTTTAACATTTGAAAACCACGTCCACTAAAAGACGTGGCAAGCAGCAGGTAGCAGCATGAAAAAGCAGCATCAAGCAACGTCCACTAAAAGACGTGGCAAGCAGCAGGTAGCAGCATGAAAAAGCAGCATCAAGCAAAAGCACGCAAAAGCAGCAAGCAAAAGTTTAAACCAAGTAAAAACTTTTGAAAATAGTGATGGTCCCTAAAGACTATCATACTCAAACAGACCATCATCTATTTAAAAGCATCTTTTCTCTTTTTATTTTTTTTATTATTTATTATTTATTTATTTATTTATTTTTTTGAAATTTTAGGATTGTTACATCCAATATTTGAACCTAGACCCAACCCGTTGAATCCAATTCTTGGACTCGTACCTTTGGGTCCCAAGTCGGATACTGGTTCATTGCCACCGCTTGCACCCTTAGTAGACCGATTCACATGTGACTGCTTGGAATGTCCATTATCTTATTACTGCATCAGTATCCTTGTACAGAATATAATTAGAATGAGAAAGAAAGATGCAATACAATATTTGGGATCCCGCCCCCAATTTGGACCCAGAAAAGCAGATTGACTTGGCTGTGAACGGCCGTCTCTGAACCCACTAATAATCCTAGATTTTTTTTTTAAAAAAAATAAAACAAGCTTATCTTGAAATATGTACTGGGGCTTATTCGCCAGAAATCGCTTTTCATTTGAGCAAAGTTTAAGAAATTCGTTGAGACGTTCGTGATGTTCTCGTCTCCCAAATTTTTAGTTTTTTTTTTTAATTTTTTTTTTGTTTTTAGGTTTTCAAACAAAAAAAATAATTTATCAAGGTTTTGTTTAGACTTCAAATTAAGAATTGAATAGGCGTTATTAACTTCATAGAAATTAGACATTTAGATTAGACCATGACCAGTGGAAAATAAAAAAAATTGTAAAACAAGGTGTACGTGAGAAAAAGCAAAGAGACCTTTGTTTATTGGATATCTATAAACCGTAGGCTTTATGAAAACAAAATAAGTCCTCACTTCCGATCCTCATCGAGAAGGCACATTCCGCAACAAAAATCTCCATGATGGCTCTAAAAGTAATTTTCAATACCGACAATAAAATTTGAAAGTAAAAAAATGTACAGATTTTGGGGATCTATAAATGCTTATTTTTGTGGCGAAATGGACAGTCGAAAAAATTTGTTACAATATGCACTATATTTAGAACTTGAAATCTTAATTTTTGCATTATATTTAGAACTTGAAATCTTAATTTTTTTTTACGAGGATAATGTTCAAGCTGAGATGGTCAATGTAAAGGTTTTTCAATACTTGAGTAGCAATTTTCAATGAGTTAAGAGCTGAGGTTTACTTGCTTTGATAGGGCCGCAGCGCCATCAAGTCATTTTTTTTTTTTAATTTTGGTTTGTTTACTGGGTCAAAGAGGGTGCGAGAGGCAGGGAAGGGGAGAATTGGGGTAGGTGAGAGTACAAATCGGAGTGGATCAGAAAGGATTTCATATATCTTCCTTCTCCTCCAGTCTTCAAATACCCCCCCTTCACCATACTTCATCTCACCCACCACCACCACCACCACCACCACCACCAATATCAATGGAGGTAGGAGCAGTTGGCTTGGTCAATGTTCAGACGCCATTTGCAGGCGCAAAGCACAAACTGAGAGGAGCCAGTGCTACTCTATCATCATCTCATAACCTTAGTTTTCCGATGATGATCCATAATGGTAATGGTCGCCACAGTAGCAAGAGAGAAGTGGGTGGTATTATGTGGTTTAATGCTTTGAACAGCAGTAGCAATGGTAATAGCAGCAGCAATGGTAGTAGCAGTAGTGGTAATGCAAAGAAGAGTGTGCCGAATTCGAATTATGTGGTGCCGCTTGACAACCCTCCCATCTCCTCCTGCATCACTCGCCCCCTCGCCGAGATTTTGAGGGATCTCAACAAGAGGGTCCCTCACAACATCATCAAGCCCGATCATGGCCGCAACTATATCCCCTGGTACCTCTCTCTCTCTCTCTCCACTTATTACTCACCATGCCATGAGATGATCGCCTGCATGCATGCCTGTCTAGGTAAGATTATCTAGGTAAGATTATCTGGCTTCTCCTCGTTTCTTTCTTTATTAATATTAATCTTGCTCATCATAATTCTTAACAATTTCATTGATTGAACTATTGTCCATGAACGAGGGTCCTCCTTGGAGAAAAATTTAGATGCTCATCCAGAAATATGAAAATTTGGGTTTCATTTTTTTGTTTTAAATGGATTTTGTTTGTGGAGTTATTTGATAGAAAAAGGCCTCAAATCCTAATTATGTATGTATTGTAAAGATAAGGGGATCAATTCCTCTTTCATCAGATTACACTGTGAGCACGCCTCCAAAACCCCCTCTGCCAATTCCATGTCCTGTTGCCACCCTTTAGAGTTAGGCACTTTTCCTTTTTAAAGTCAATTTCATCTCCCTTTGGCCAGTAAAGACTTTCTCACTAGTAATCGGTATCACTTTTTAGTTTGATTGTCTGTGACAAAGAACCTGATATGCTATACAATCACAAATCATTTATTTCATTTTAAGAGTCAGCTATTTGATGGTTGAGAGTGTATTCCGCCATGTTCGTTGACCTAAATTTATTGAACTAGAAGTAACTCACTGTTTGTGCGCGTTTTCCTCTGATGGCTATCAATTGGAAACTATTATTTTAGTTTGTAAAATTCTCATTAAGCATGTTGCTTCCATGTTCCCTATTCTCATCACTCACAGCAAAGAATATTAAAGGCATCCCTCTCAATCCATAGTGAAGCTTATGGGCTTCACGTGTTTCATGGTACTAGTTATAAATAATTTACTTTGTTGTAGACAAAAATACTTCTAAAAGAAAATTGCAAATATTTACTAGGAACAAGGTGGGATAAAATGCCACTAACAAAGTAAGAAGCTTGAAGCATACACAGGGAAACGTTTTAGGAAAACCATAAGATAACAAAGAGAAGCATGTTATTCCAATTTTTTTCTAGAAATAACTAAAGCACAAAGACGACATATTAAAAACTTGAAAGAAATTATTGTTGCAGCCATGGAGGTGTGTGGAAGAACTACAAGTTATATGGGAGGAACGCTTGGTAACATGGGTGATGCGTGAGGAGAACATTTCCCCACTAATTTGGAAAATTGGATCTTATTGGTTTTGAGAACATGTTTATTGGAAATGGATTTGCTTCTTAAAATAAGGATGGAGATATCCTGGACATATTTAACGTGGATAAGGTTAATATTTGGATGTCATCTTGTCATCTTCTGGACAATTGTTTGTGGAGAAATAAATTATGCTTGTGTGTAAGCATATCAGGGCAATTTTGTTACTTATAAAAGAAAAGCAAATAATTTTGTGGGAAATAATAATAACAACTATCTGTTCACTTTTTTTTTTTGAGAAAAGGTTAACTTAACTATCCGTTCACTTATTTCTAGAGATAAATGCAGACTATCCTTAAATTTTTATCACTCTTGTAAGAAATCTCGGTTCTGGGCCTTGGGACCCGATGGCTACCTTGTGGCACTTTTCAACACCTTTTGGGATACCTTTAGTGTTGACCTTCTCTCCTTTTTTGAGGAATTCCATGAGAGAGTGTAATTCACAGGCTACAAACACTATTTTCATTGTGCTGGTTCCTAAAGTAGAAGGAGCTGAAGAGCTGAAAGATTTCAGGCCCATTAGCTTAATCAATAGCACCTACAAAATCATCTCCAAGGTCCTCGCCTCTGGGCTTAGAGAGGTCCTCAGCTGGGTTATCTCTCCCAACCTAGGGACCTTCGTTAAGGACCACCAAATCCTGGATGGAGCCCTAGTGGCACACGAGTCTATCCATTCTAGACACCTGTACAAAGTTGCTGGAGTGGTTATAACTGGATTGGGAGAGGGCCTACGACCATGTTGATTGGGCCATCCTCGACGAAACCCTCTATAGGATGGGTTTTGGGAACCGGTGAGGGCTTGGATCCGGGGTTGCATCTCAAATCCCGTGTTCTCCGTCCTCATACATGGTTCCCTCAAAGGCTTCTTCCTTTCCACCAGAGGACTTAGACAGGGAGATCCACTCTCCCCCTTCTTGTTTGCAGTAGTAACTTAGGTTTTTAGCAGTTCCATTGCCAGTATATACGAAGAGGGCCTTCTCAAAGGCTTCTAGATAGGGAACCAAGGCCTTGAAATCTCCCACCTTCAGTACACTGATGACACCCTCCTCTTTTGTGATGCTTCTACTCAGCAGATCGATGCCCTACTCCTCTTCCTCAAATGCTCTGAGATGGCCACTGGTTTCAAGGTAAATATGGGCAAGTCAAAGATGATGGGGGTGTCTTTCCATACACCAAACAATCCACAACCTTGCTGCCCGGTGGGGCTGTAAAGTTGACGACCTACCCTCACCCCTATGCATAGGTAAACCTAAGTAGCGCCTCTGGAGTCATATCATTGACAAATTCGACCGCAAGCTAGCTGGTTGGAAGGGTATATTCCTTTCATCTGTTGGAAGAATTACTTTAATTAAGGCATCTTTCAGATGCCTTTATTCCTTATGCCTCCTCGGTCTTGGCCCGCCTTGAGCAACTCGTGAGAAACTTCCTTTGGTCTGGAGGGGGAAAACAAAAAGCTCCACCTTGTCTCTTGGGCTAGAGTCTGCTTGCCTAAACACCAGGGGGGGCTTAGGAACCCACAACGTCAAAATCAACAATCTAACCTCCTTGGAAAGTGGTGGTGTGGCTCTTAGGCACCCAAGGCAATCATATGTGGCTTGAAGTCCCTCCACCATAAGTACCATTTGGATTCCTCTTCTTGGCTCCCGAGGAACACAGCTACAAGTAGTCCCTCAGGCATTTGGCAGTCTCTCCTCCGGTGTTATGAGCTCTTTAGAAGAAATTATCCATTTTTGCTCCAATGTGGGCAACATAATTGAATTCTGGGAGGATCTCTGGATTGGTACTACCCCCTTGAAGGAGCGTTCCCTTACCTTGTTTCTCCTGGCACGGCATGCCCAAGCTACAGTGGCCGATCACTTTGAGTCACTGGGTACCTCTAGGATTCGAAACCCAAATTTTAGAAGACGGGTGGAGGACCACAAACTGGATGGCTTTTTGGCCCTGTCCTCCCTTATCCATTCGGTTTTTCTTCCTCCCTAAGTTGCGGACAAGATTATTTGGTACCCTGATCCTTCTAGTCTCTTTTCGATGTCCTCCTTTTACCACATACTCCAACTGCCACCTAATCTTCCAGCGCCACCCCCTTCTATTGCCTCTAAGGCCTGGATCTCCTTTGTTCCGCCAAAGTCCAAGTCCTTTCCTAGATAGCCTTGTCTGAGAAAGTATCGACCGTGGGCCAGCTCCCAAAAAGCGGACAACTGATCCCTAATAGGTGTGCCCTCTGCATAGCAGAGGAAGAAACAAATGGGCCACTTTTTCATCCACTGCAACCTTGCATTGACTTTGTGGAGCGATTTTCTCCAACTTTTCAACTGGGTTTGGGTTACCTCGCAATCGGTTCCATACCTCTTCAGCTCTCTCTACCCTCTGCAATGGTCGAAGTCAGGTATCCTTCTTGGAAAGCATCCATGGCAGCAATCTTGTGGGTTATCTGGACTGAGAGAAACAACAGGATTTTCCACGGCATGAGGGCTACCACCGAGGCCTTGAAAGATGGGGTAAGAGCGTCAGTTATCTTTTGGGCCTGCAACCACAACTCCTCCAAGCACTTCTCCTATGCAGATTTTCACCAAGGTTGGCAGGCCATGCCGCGATTGAGGCCCACCAAGATCCCCCCTCCTTCCCTTTGGAGACCACCGGAACCCATCCAATCCAAGCTCAACTTTGATGGCTACTCCCTAGGCAACTGTGGCCCAGCAAGAATGTGGGGCATTTTTAGAGACTCAGCAGGCCACACCCTTTTTTCCTTTTCTATATCCATTGGGCTTGCTGATTCAGTTTCGGTAGAAGCTCTTGACCCATGGATCTTGGAGCCCTTTTGGTAGTTGAGGGGGCACCCCAAGAACGTTATAGCCTGGGCCTCAGGATTTTCCCTTGTCCTTGGTGATTGGCACAACTTATGGAGGCATACGTGGTATGAAGCCAATGCAGCAGTCGGCAATCTCACTAAGGAAGGAGCATTACATGACGGTCTGCAGGGGTTTTTGGTGGCATCTTTTTTATCCTATGGTTTCCCTTTGCCTCTATTTTACTGTTCTCAGTTTTGTTACAACCTTGCTGTATAACAGTTTTTGAGCTACCCATCTTTCTAGTCCATGTGGGTTTTTGTATAGAACACCCAGTCTGTGGGATGCCTTTACCTTATGTACTCTGTTTTCTCTTCTTAATACAACGTTAACAGTTTCAACAAAAAAAAAAGCTCTCTCTTTTCTGGGCTTTAACTAGATGATTAGACCTGCCAAAACCTATATAAAATAAATGAAGGTGAGGTGATTCATATATGTTTATACTGACTTTTATTGGCAAGTAAGAAGCCCTTGGATCAACAAAAGAATCACTCATGTTATGCCGTCCTTCCAGGCATGATGAATCTTGGTGAACCTCGTAGCATCTAGGATATCCATGTCATTTGAGAACAGATGAGTGCCATCTGAGAACAGAAATCTCATCTAATGAGGGACAATCTTTTTGTATGGACTATTGAGCTTGTTGATGCATCACATACTTATAGACTTGCTTTTAAACCTCTACAGTTTGAGCATGGGAAGAACCTGTCAATTTTGCTTTTGATAATGAATGATTCATTAAGCCAATACTTAAGACATGAGAGCAGTGTCTTAATGCTGCGAAAGAATGGGGTAGCTCCTATCCTTTTTTTTTTTTGCTTTCCTTCTCTGTTGATTTTTAATCAATATTTTACTTCTGTTGCTTTGTTTTCTAATATGTTTTGAGGCAAATGTTGTTGTCCATTGATTGTGGTCTGGCCCTTTTGCAGGTACCATGCCAACCGAATGCTTAGCTTCTATGCCCCAGGTAAGATTCCCTTGCAGTTGCAATCTTTCAGCTGGTTCTCATTATTTCTTCTCTTATTTGGCCTTTATTATTACCTAGTGGTTTAAAAAACGAATCAGTGCCCCGGATCGGGCACCCCAAAAACCCATCCTGATCGGTGAATTGGCGTTTCGGTTCAGGAATCGGTCGAATTGGCCTTAAAAGAAATTAAAAAAAAATCATTATAAATGTTTTTTTTAGGAATCCAATAAGAAATGAGGGTACTACATTAATAACTTTTTTTTTTTGCATCAATATGCGAATATTGAGATGTTCTTTCCCTGTATGAAGATTCTCATCAAACAATTATTAAAACCTAACTAAATACAATATTGTACATTGAAATTAGAATTATTGGTTTGTATTCTATTATTTTATCATCATTTTACTATACAAATACGAATAAATTTGAAATTTATCTTATAATATCATCTAATTTAAAAAATCTAATTTACAACTATAACAAAAAATAATATATTGCATAATTTATAATGTAAATAAATTAATAATTAAAATATAAAATTTGATTATCATTGTAATTAGTATAATTATTAATTATAATATTATAATAAACGTGATTCAAAAAACAAGGGTATGACCCTCACAAATAAATAAATCTAATGTATAATAATTAGTGTTGATAGAAATATAGAATTTAGTAACATAAATTTGCAATCATATTTCAATAAAAATAAAAAAATAAATAAAGAAATTCATCTTTGCAATGTGGGATAATTGATAAAGCAACTTGCAATAAATTCCAAAGTGGTATGAGCTAATGTTATTTTTCTCTCTTAAAATATCCCATAAACTAGTATTTTGTTTTTAATGTTCAATAAACCAGTATTAGTATTATTTTTTGCTTTTTTTAATATCCTATGAGCTAGTACTAATTTTTTTAATCTCAATTAGCTAATAGCCTAATACTACTAGTCTTCTTTTTTTTTGGATAAGTAAATTTAATTTTTTTTGGTGAAGGATAGGGGTGGTGGGCCCTATCTACCAATTATTATTTTTAATAATTTTCCATCTCTTTAAATTAATATTCCTAAATTTCTATTAAAGGTCACCATGTTATAAAAGAAATTAATATAATTATGCCATCTATTTCTTGGTAAAAAAAAATCTAACATATAGCAAATAGGTATTGATATATGAGAGAGAGAAAAGAGCTAATGCTTGACAAGGTGAATGGGACGAAATGTCCCACATCGAACATGTAGAATACCTTTGACATGTATAAAACCCTCTTCATTAACACTCTCATGTGCACGCGAAAGGGGCTTGTGTTCTTGGGGGCTTGTGAAAGACAAGATAGGGGCAGGTGGCCCAAGCAAAGCATGTTGTGCCATGTAGGACAAAGAAGCCCTTGTGGGATAGGCGCACGTGGCCAAAGCAGGGCATATAGGACAAGAAGCACTTGTACTTCACATCACAGTTGCCCCAATTTTAAAGAAATTACAAAATTGCCCTCTCGACTTAAAAAATTATAAAAATGCCCTCCCAACTTTGAAAAAAAAAAGTGTGACAGTTGGATCTTGTTTATGGCTGGATCCGGAACGGTCTAATTTATACCCAATCCGGATCGTCCGATTCCATATTGGATCGGCGATTTTTAAAACACTGTTATTACCTTTGTTCTTTATTATATCCTTGTGAAACTCCCTTGGCCTTTTAGCTAGAAGGTATAAAATATCTTGTTATGAAAATTCATTCAATATATTGCTTAGTGATGTGAAATGGGATTTTCTTATGCTCCCCTTTCATCCCATTTTTGTACTGATCAAATGTTCCCCTGGAGCACCAATGATTATTTTTTTCTCAAACTTCTTTTTTACCCCTGCAAATACTTGCTTGGATTTCGGATCATGACATGCCCAAATTAAGGTATTGCAGGCAGGTTGAATTGAGTTTGAATCACACACTTCATAAATATTCTTATATGTTTTACTTTTTTTACACTCTACCTATTCTTAAAACAAAAATTTAGAATCACATTATACTTAGAAAAGTGTGTAGGAATTCTGTATCTATGTTGTGGTTTTTTTCTTACAGTGGGGCCATTCTAGCCATATAGCGGTGTTCAGTTGAGAAAATCATGATTTCTTTGCCTCATTATAGTGTTGCTAAGAAAAGTTTGTTTTGGGAACACAAAATCTTGGCTCATCCACAGCAAGTAATCATGGTCTTCTGCTGCAGGATGGTGTGGTGAGATATGCAACGTTGTATTTACAGATGATGGAAAGAGCGTGACTGTTGTCTATCGTGTTACCGTCCGTGGATCTGATGGAGAGGTAATCTCTCAATGGCTCAAACTCTACTTATTTTATGTGAATATTCCATTGTCAGCTTCTACCATGATGAATGGCATCTTTGGAGTTTGAAACCCAATTTTTCCTAATAAAACCAGTCTTTTTCAAATCTCATGGCATACTTTGTCAGTGAAGGGGAAAATTTATGGTTATTTGATGGAGGAGTATCGCAGGGATAAAGAGATCAAAGGTCTAATGAGTTGATTTAAATATGAATCGGCCTGTTCTGCATCATTATGAGGAGAGAGGAATTGGCTCATCATTTGTTTTTTTGAGAATGAAAAATTTGGACCATTTCTCGATTTGTGTTTGTCATCCTTGTGCAGGGGCCATGCTAATCTTCTCTGTATCATTCTAATTTTATTGGAAGTCACGGAAGAGATGGCTATTCATATTTGTTGATCTCGCCTGAAATTCTTTTTGTTGAGTTAATTACTTTTAGATATCCGCAGAGAATATTCTCTCTCTACTTCCCTAAGGGATGGGCTTACACATTTTTTAACAATGATTAAAAACTAGATTGCAACTCTGAAACACTCCCCGAGTTGACTTGACTCACTCACCAAACCTTGGCATATAAATGAAAAACTTGGATGGAGCCAAGTGTTTCATTTATATGTATTTTTTATGCCTTGTTTTTAATCACATGAATGGTAGTTAGCGAATTGATTAGAAGAGGATCTTGGCTGGTGAGAGATAAGGTTCAAATCCTACCGTAGACAATTGATTTTTTCCTTATCTTTGAACCTTTTTGCAACTACAAACTGTTGGCTTATTCTGTTTCTTGTGTTTGCTTGGTGGGCTTGGGGCTACGAGTCTGTGGACCTCGTTTTGGCTTTCTTTATGGCGACACTGCCTCATACTGCTAGGACCAGTAGATTACTTCCTGATTATTGTGTACATTTGCCTGCAAATGATTGTTGGGCATCCTTCCATGTGGAACATGTTTTGATCTCAGGTTGAGCTGCTGGCAGCGAATAAGCTGCTGGTTTTGCCTGAAGATACACACACACTCTCTCTCTCTCTAAGACACGCATGCAGCCCTCTCTTTCTCTATCTAGCTAACTCACTTGTGTTTACACACACACACATGCACACGCACATACACATGTGCACACACCGGAGTTACTCTCCTTTTGTCCATGATTGGCAATTGGCTGCAGCCATTGTTGAGTTATTAGAACGTGTGAATTTGCACTTACTGTGTATTTCAAACAGTTACCATCTATTTGTAGCTGTATAGATATATTGATAAAATAAAGTCTCAGGAGGGATATAATCACATTTTTCATACTGGCAAGTTGTAGATTTTTCTTTTTTCATTTTGATTTTTCTGCTGAAGTAATTCTCTCTTGACAGGCACACCGTGAATCCTCTGGTACAGTACTCATAAAGAATAACCAGGTTGAAGATCCTGTTGCTGAGGCAGAGCGAATAGCCTTTTGCCGGGCATGTGCTCGGTTTGGTCTTGGTTTGTATCTATATCATGAAGATGAGTGAAAAGTAGAATGTAACTGAGTTGTTGCGATCGACATGATGGCGTGTATCACTTAATAAAACAGTCGTGCTTCTTCAAAGTACAACTAGCATACTAGACAACCAGTTCGGGATAGATGCGTTGTTTTTCTGATGTGTATATTAAGAAATCACAAGTCAAACTGGTTTATCAGGCTTTCCTGTTTTGGCTCCCATGCCCATGCATTGTGAGAAGCAATGCATGCACAGTCGCTGTTTGCTTATATATTTGTGATGTTTTCTGGATGTGTGAACTTCCATTTTGTAGAAACCATGTACAGCACTGATTTATCGATGTGGTATTCACAAGGGTTTTTCTTTTTTTCAATAAATAAATAACTTGAAGGATTTTCCATAGATGTCATGGCATTGTTAACGTAAGTGTCGATATTATACATATAAAATTTATTGCATGGCACAAGAAATTCCCTCATTGCTCCATGCAATTGAGTTTCATGTTGGGGAAGCAATCGCAACCTCATTCTGCGTCTGTGTGTAGGTTCATGAGTTTGGGTAAGTTCAGAATTTGTAACATGGGATGATTACATGAGTTTGGGTAAGTTCAGAATTTGTAACATGGGATGATTAGACCTTATTCGGGGCTTATGCTCATGGGCTCCAAGAGATCACCTTCGAGGCTTCCCATTGCAAAATCATCTTCTAGGGGAATCAAACACCATTAACCATGCATAAATTTCAACCAGCTTTGAATTCCTCAGTACAATATTAGGCAACAAATAATAACAAATGAATTGAGCTTCAATGCGGCCCAATGGAATTGTTGGTGTGTCTCTATTTCTTGTCTTCTGTGCAATGAATGTGAACTTCGAGCAGATGACAACAATAGTAGCTTATCAAAGTTGGTACTAGCGAAATTCATGCTATTGGACTACCACATTTATTTCTAAAGTCTTCACTTCTATTACATTTGGAAGAATTACATATCTAGATAGGAATAATTACATCTCTACACACAGCACAACACACCACTGTACACTTCGATTTCATAAAGCTGTGATTATTTCGTTCCTGTAGCTCGCGGTCGGTCTTATGGAATTCATTCTATTAAAAAACAGTTACATACAAATGGATACAGATGAAGATAGGGTGATAATGTCCCTCTCTTCCTCAAATGTTTTGTGGTTCTATGGTGTCAGGAGCCTCGGGCCAGAATGCAACTGCATCCATGATGCTATGACATCGACGAGTTGGTCCACATCCTTCACATTCTGGGTGCGAAGGACCTGTGACTCTGCACCTAGTGAAGTCCCAACCTCTCTAGCTACAGTCTCCCAAGGTGTCCCTACTGCCAAATTTGCAAGGAGCTCACCGCCCTTGTTTACGGCATCAGCCATTGCCGGAGGAACCTCTGGAAACACCTACACAAAATTAAGATATAATCAAGAAATGCACGATTCATATCAGTGACATGAGCTTCAATGTTCTCAACTCCCATTTTAATTTCTGTTTCTTATATTTGATCTCTACTTCAATTCATTTCAGTTCTACGAATAATACCTGTTGCAAAGGCAAGCCGTGGTCTCCTGGTAATGTTCGTATGGACATATCCAGACCAGAACTAATGGCAGACTCAGAACTTAAAACCTGAGCCAGTACTGGAGTCTCGTCAATATTGTCGTCTTTGAACTTCACAAGCAAATTTCGAGAGATGCCGTAATAAGATTTTATCTGCCCCAATTAAAAGAAATTCTCAAAATGGATGGTTTTAGATGGTATAAATGCATGGTTACAAGTTAGACCATTCCATATTGTAACTCTTCGTGACCTGTGCCTTCACAGCAGGGCGCATACAGTAATGTCCCACTGGGTATATGGGAGTCATGGGTTCCGGTACGTAAAGAAGAGAATGACTGTTATTGATTTACGGAGCAAGGAAAATCCTTAGCCCCATTAACACACTTCAAAACAAGATTTGTGTCTCAATCCTAGTCTTGATTCCATTTAACAATTAATGAACCACATTTTGATAAAGTCTCACCGCTTCCCAGAGTAGGCAAATACAATGAGATCAATACCTTTTATTGATCTACATTCTACACTGGCTTCTTATATAATATCATCACACTTATTATATGAGAATCGTTTTTTCAAAATGCATTAGTCAAAATCATAAATGATATTATTCACCATGAACCCCACGGTTTTTCAGAAATCTCTTCAGATTAGTGGAGTTCTTTACAATTTAAAAGATGTATCAAATAAAGAAAGGCAATGATCAGAAACTATCAAGTAATTCTCTATCCATTTTATCGAGCCCTAACTGCAAATGCTTCTATGGCCATCCATTCAGAGGCACATAAGCATAAGACAAATGTCAAAAAGAATTTCATTACCTCTGACTAAAGAATCCTAACTGAACTATGAACAATAAAAAACTTCAACGGAAATAGATATCATGAAAAATGTGGAAAAACAGGGAGCAACTTAGAAATCATAAGACTGAATTGAAAAACAAAAACAGGAAATTTACCATGATCACAAAAATTTCTATGATCACAGTGGACTAGACCAATATGTGACAATATGAAATAGTACTGCAAAAAATCTGTTTGGCATTTCATAATCACCAATTCAGTTGGGTATAGTGTTCAGCAACTCAAGCATGTTGCTATTTGGACCGTAGATCACCACGGACTGGTCTATCTTCCCATGCAACCCACACGATTCTCATGTGGTTGTTGGTTTCTCAACTTGCACAGTTTCCTATTTCCTCTCTAGTACCTCATGGGGCTTTGTGCATGTCACACTGACTTCGGTAAAGGAGTTTCATGAAGTCATTAAAATTGTATTTTTATCACATTTTTCTAGGAAATTCTTTGCAGCCCCCAAAAGGTATGTTTTTACTATTTCAGAATTTCTTGTACCTCGTTCTTTCTTTTTTGAAGATAAAGAAAGAGGAGAATGAAAATACTGGAAGAATGATTAACATTACACAGAATGTAGTTATTAGCATCATAAAGCTTAACATGCCTTGGTGTGCAAAAGAAAGTTAAATGGATGTTACTTTGAAGTTTGAATGGGAATCCCGCATACCAGTCGACGAGTTTCGTCTGGTTTTGGAATGAATTCTTCCCGGCCCTTTACCAAATCCATGTACAAAGGAGGCAGTTGCTCAACTAGTGGAAGTACTTGTTTGAGAATTGGTGGACTCAAGCTCTCCAACTGCTTCATAGCCATCTCTGCCTGCAAATTTGTTTAGGAATGAAAACAAACAATTCTAGAGAGCCAATGGCATATTTTGCTCTGTCCAATCACAAACATGCAGCTGAACCAGCAAAAAAAGATGTCACTGCACTCTATTTGATAAGAGCAGCATTGAGGTTCTGCACTCAACAGTGTAATTTGTAACAGAAAAATATCTATCCAATCTATTTACTGCCTCAAACTCTTGCTTTCAAACAAAACAAAAAACACACACATATGCAGTTTTGTATGAGTTTAACTAATGATCTGCTGAAAAGCCTGAATTGAACAATCTAAAATGCCTAATTTTTTAGAATCTACACAATTTAATTCCTGAAATCCCATATTGATTACAGGAAGAGAGAGAGAGAGGAAGCCCCAAATTTTTGGAGAGAAACCATTAACATATGCATGTTTCTTTACATAATGCTCTTGAAAGAGGTGGAGACTTATAGAAGACATTCAGTATGTCTATAGAATATGCTCTCTCTCTCTCTCTCTCTCTCTCTCTCTATATATATATATATATATATATATATATATATACTATATATATATACTACTACTACTACTA